CTACCAAAGGCAGAGGAGAAGGTTTCTGAGGGAACATGGTGGTGCTGCTACCCTTCCTCCTGCTCCCGGCAGCAATTGCTGGCTGCCATTGGTTTGGTCTAACCTGCCAGTGACAAACTCAGAAAAGGAGCAAGCTATTTGTCAGTCACACAAAGCTACAGGTACACTCCAGAATAAAACAGGGACAGGGTATTAGTGCATGAGTAGGTGCTACAGAGGCCCCTATTGACATGGTTCTTAGCACGGTCTTGTCCTGTATCGATTAGTTGTCCCCCAGGCTTGGTCTGGGCACAGTTCAGGAGGTGGACATGCCCCAGGACCATGAGCATTTTGGATATGGCCATTCTCTCTGAGAAAGTGATCTAACCTTGAGGACAGGAGGTATTCTGCACCAGTTAGCCTCAAAGCCAGAGAAGAGCTTGTTGCCTGAATTATTTAGTAATACACAGCAAGCCAAATTGACTCTGGGACAAACAAGCCAAAAAATGGATCTGAAAGGTTAGTCTAAGGAACAGCTCAGTGGGGAGGGAGTCCTTGCTTCAGTTGCAAAGATGCTTCTCATCTGCAAACATTATTTTGTTTTCTGTTTTAAAAGCACTGATGGTTCAAAGAATTTGTTTGGAAGCAAATCCCTCCAATTTCTTTGTTGTTTCTGCTAGCATGTCTGTGATTGTGGGAGCTCGGTAGCCCTTGCAAGTACGCTGGGGCAGATTACCACGCTGCCGGGAGTTTTCATTACCGTACCGCGGTCAGAAGTGGTTGATTGCACAGGAGAAGGAAGCGCAGAGCAGTTGTTCAGTATTTAGATAATGCTAGGTGGAATATGACTCTGATTGCATTTGACTGAAAAGCAACCTCCTTCTCCACCTAAAAACCAAAATCCCACCCCTGAAAATATTACAACTGCCTCCCATGGTTATTTTTTTCAGTGATTTTTATAGGCTCAAGAATTCTCAGCTACAGCTAGTACTTTGTCCATTCAGAGAGAGGTGACACTTCATCTTTCACTAAGATACTTCAGGTTCATTCTCATACCATCCTGCTATATGAACGTGTAACATAGGTGATGCAATTAGGAGGAAAGCATTTGCAGAAACGATAAGGAAAACCTGATAAATGAAATCCGCTATATGCTGTCAGTCACGCTGAGGCTATTCCAATAAACACAAACGTGGTGTTGTGTACCCAGTTTAAAGAGACAGAGTAAAATAATTTATAGCCCAAATTGTCTTTTCTTCCTTGCAGTGTTTATATGTATATACATAAAATACTCTACACACCAAAAATATGTTAAGGGAGCATTACTGACACAGAGTGCTGAAAAGGCAATGCGATGGTTAGTGTCGTAGTTATAGCATTATAGTTAACAGGCTTTTTGTTCAGTAACTGGGCTCTTCCCTGTGAATGAGCTGTATCCAGTCTTTATGCAATTAGGGGCATTTTTTAGGGTGAATGTTTGGTTTTAGGAAGGGATTTCGCTTTCAAGGCAAATGCAGTCAGATTTATGTCACATCTGTTATTATCTAAGTGCAGCCTTGTCTTCCAGAGGAGATTTGTCTTATACAGTACACAAGCTGGGCAGCCTTCAATTTAGGAGTGGATGCAAAATATTTTTCTAAGTGTTGCCTTGTAATTTTTTTCCTTTTTTTTTTTTCCCTGTACACTATTCCAACCTTGCTTGGAAAACAAAATCAGTCATTTCGTTGTGGGAATTGTTATTCTGCTCTTTCACTGTAGTTTGAGCGCCTCAGAAATGTTAATGTATCATTAGCGGTTCCGAGGAGGTGATGTGTTATCTTCACTTTATAAATCAAGAGCGAAGGCTGGTGGTTGCAGCACAGGTCCAAGGGTGTTTCCTATTTTGGGGGCCCTGTTCAATGACCTGATTTCTTGGACTAATGCATTTCATGTGATGAAAGCACATTCCCTGTTGTTGATTTCAGTGGCTTTAGTGAGCGCTCAGGAGCTCTGCAATCTGGGCCTCGGGGCTTGAAACTGAAGACCAGAGATAGAAGGAATATTGTTTGGTGACCAACAGAGTCAAGATTTAGTGTAAAGGGCTTCCCTAGCAGCATGTAAGAACTGTGGAGCAGAGGCTAGCATATAGTACTTTGTCCAAGGATGATGCTGATTTCCAGTTGTCCAGAGACTCTTTCTTCTGATTCTACTATGCCTTTGAATACCTGTAAGAAATGAGGCAGCGACCCAGCAAGTGATGGTCTCTTTAGCTGCATTTATGACCTTCAGAACAGATACCTACTGACAAGCTAGAAAACAGGTCATTTATTTAAAGAGGATACTCAGAGGAAACAGCCCAAACCACTTCGACTTTGACAGCCTGTCCCATGTTTTCCTTGTTATTGCACAAAATGGGATAGTCTATGTATACATTAAAAATGTGTCCATAGTTTATCGTATAGTAGTCACCGGATGAGAGTGCCTGAGTCAGTCTCTTCCTTCAGCTTAATATCCTGCTGCTTACTCTTTTATTTGAGAACAGATCATCTTTGCTCAAAACTGGTCTGTAGTGTCAGCTCAGTGACATTAGTTTACTACACTGGGTGGTGTTGCTGAGAATGTGAAACTATCCCATTAGCCTGTTTGCAATATAAAAGAGGCTTCTGCATTTTACAAGCTTATGCAGTGTAGCAAGATTCTGGCAAGTGTAAAGGAAAAAGGTGTTAAGGAGAGCTGGCAGCTCCTTAAAGAAAAGATATTAAGTGCAAACTCTTCCAATAAGGAGGAAAGTTAAGGAAGTGCAGTAGAAGACCAGTGTAGCTAAGTTGTCAGCTCTTCGTGGCCCCTGAAGAGAAGTAGTTTTTCTACAGACTGGAAAGTAGGTCAGGTTTCCAAGAACAAGGATTAAAAAGAATTGTGTAGGGACAATGAAATCGGAAGTCTTGAGGCACAAAATAAGATGGAAGTATCCAGGTGTGTAACAGGTGGTAAGAACCATTTTTCATGTACATTAGTAATGAAAGACAGACTGAAAGAAAATGTTAGACAGTGAAAGGGATCAACAGATGGCATAGGGAAGGCCAAAGTGTCTTTGGCTTGTTTGGGTCTTCCCCAGTAAAGTGGATGCTGCTGCTGCTAACATAGAGGACTGTACTGCCACTGCTACCCTCAGCAGGTGGGCAGGGGCCTGAGTGCCAGATCTCACGTGCAGAAATAAGCGTCTCTGTACAGCCTGATACCGACAGAAGGTACGCCTTCCACCACCACCCACCGATTTTAGGATGGTTTGTCTGGAGGACTATGCTGTACAATAGCTGAAATGCTGATAGAAGATGACTTGGAAGGTGTTTGGGAATGGTCAGAAGGGAAGCATGAGCTGGGAGGATCCCAGAGGTGGCTTCTTTGCAAGTGCTATTCTGTGCTTTTGTTAATGCGTCAGGTCATGGCACTGAGTGCGGTAACAGTTTATATAGAAGATGAGAAGCTGGTAGGAATGAAAGACGCCATGAAGGGAAGGGCCACAATTCAATGTGATCTTGATCAGTTGGAGAAGTAATCATAAAAACAAAGTTCACAGTTCAACAAGGACATGTTCTAAATATGACTCTTCAGAGTAACCAACTTTAATGATAAAGGCTGGGGAATAACTTCCTAGAGGGTAATTATTCAGAAAAAAGTCTGACAGTTGCAGGGAACCACAAGCCAGTACATGAGTTGACATTGTCACGCTGTGTTATATAGCATTTTGGGGTGAATAGAGAGGAATATAGCCTGCAGAACATGTGGGAAAAAATCCCTCCTTGGCTGGAGTACCATGTCAAGTCACAGTTCTATACCTTGAGAAAGATGTAAATCAAGACTATGCAGATGGACAGCAACAAGACTGAACAAACAGTCCCAGATAACATGACTGATAAGTACATATTGAGCGAATTGGTGTTATTTGGGATAGGTGGCAGCAATATGATTAGTGGTTATTACAGCCTTCTGTATATACAGGCTGCTGCAGAGTGGAAGAGAATAACTTATTTCCTATGCCTGTGTTAGCACAAAGACTAAAGGCCTTAAGTTCCAGCAAGAGAGATCATGCAACCATGGTAAGAGTAGTCCAGCACTGGAAGACTTTGCATGGGGATGTTATTAAATCCCCATTTTTGGAGGACTTCAAGAACAATTAGGAAACATCCCCTGGCAATGACCTAAGTTGTAGTAGATTCTGCTACAGATTCTGTAGATTCTGGGGCTGGACATCTCCTGACACCTTTTCTAGATGTAATTGCGTTCTTTCAGATACACTTTCTCTTTCCTCTTTTTTATGCTTCTACTCCGTGTTGAATATCACTATTCTCTGGATAGGGATTTCTTAGTTTGTGGGGGGGATTAAAATTTAGCAAACCCATAGCAGTCATCTTGGTACAGAACTTCATGGGACAGTGCTTTAAACTAGTATGTTTGACTAACTGCTGAAGCTGCAAGTGTCCCAGTCCATAACTTCTTATTTGGGCAAAACTCCATGAGAGTGTTCCTTATAGACAGAGTAAGGACTTTCTTTCTAATCAACGTATTTTCTGAAGACTTTTAAAATGCATGTAACAGTCTGACATACCAGCTGTCACCAGAAATCGTGTCCCCCACCAACACCCGTGTGCGGTGCGTTGGCACTCATGTCACACGGAGAGGGAGTGTTGACAGGCCCTCTTGATAGTCACCTTAGAGAGGGAGGAAAGAAGCCAGAGTTCAGTAAAGGAGAACTGGCTGTTGCAGGAGAACACCAGGAACGGCAGAACCAGAACATTCTGAGCAAGGAGTTACTGGACTGGCCTCGGGCTTTTTTGCCAGTCCAAGTGGAAAGTCACACAGCAAAAAAGAAAAGTTCTGTAGCCTCATCCATGTTTAGCTTGAGGTCTGGGACTGATTCAAACCTCTCTCATTGTGGGACAGCAGTGCAACACCATTCATGGACAATCTTTCCAAGTTCCAGAGTCTTGATTAGCACTGGTTGCCTTTGTATTAAAACAGAATCATGTTTTCTTTTGACTTAGAAGCCGAACTTGATTTCCAAGCCAATGCTTGACAGCATCCTTTGTCTTCGTGATGACAGATGGAAGTATGTCCGGAGCCTCCTGACCCCAGCCTTCAGTGATACCAAACTGAAAGAGGTAAGCTGTAGGCTGTGTTGCTTTCCTTAATATAGAAGACATAATTGTTGTTTTTTTGTGCAAGCATCTACTTTATATAGTTCTATATTAAGGTAAAAAACTGCTACTTTGTGCCAGCTTATTTAGACCTGAAGAGCACATGCAGTTGAGCATACATGCAGTGTGGCCCACGTCACAGATTGGGGAAAATCAGAATAGCTCATCTGAGAATAAGATCCTCTGTCTTTATATAAACCAGTTTGTCCATAGAAGTGTAGCAAACTCAAAAAGGAGCCTTATACCTTCCTCCCCCCTGCCCTGTTAGGAGTAAGCTAAAGTACGGGAAAGGTTATTGCTCCCAGTTGGAACATAGCTTTTTGTGATTTGCAGAGTCAGCAGCTCTCACGTTAACATGGGAACTGCTGTCAGTCTATTTTCATTTCTCCATCTCCTTCCCCCCTCCTCCTTTTATTCTTTAATCCTTTCATATAATAAAATAAGTCACTGGAACAGAATGTCATTGCCAGATAAATACCTCTGACAGAAAATAAATGTCTCGGCACTGACCTGCTGCTAATTTCCTATAAATGTCTCAGCATTTACTTAACCATGGGAACCCATTACCCAGTAGCAAAGTCCTATTCCAGTGGCACAATATCTCTTAATTAAACACAGATAAATGATTGACTGCTTAAAGTCTTCTTTCAAGGGGCAAAAAAACCCCACAAGAACAACAAAAAACACCTCTTCCTTTATGTATTTTATTCTGAAGGGGAGCTATGCCTCACTCTGGTGCCCAGTCCTGGGTTGTAAAATTTTCCACTGGGCAGACGCTTGTGTTGTTTTGACATGCCGCTGTCGAAATCCACAGTAACATCTAAATGTGTCTGGCTCTCCCAGCTCTATAGACAGTGGTCGCTTAGCAACGCCGGCTGTCACCTCCTTATTATGGTAAATTCTAATTGGCCGCTAGCCTGGCGGAGATGCTGATTAATCACGACTGACAATGCCATTGGTTATGCGCCCCGACATTTGCTCTGTCACCGACTCCATCGTGAAATTTTAGCGAGGCAAGGATGTTTAAATATGCAAGCGATTAGTTGCTCATGGCAGGGAGAGGAGAGTTTTGCATTTTCCTAGCGGAAATTAATCTGCCTTGCTGCAGGTCATGGGCGCTTTGCTGGTGGACTAACAAAAAGATAGAGCCACCCTCCCCTCAATTTGCGGAGAGCAACCTCTGCCGGCACCAGCCGGGCAGACTTGATGGAGGAGAGCGGTGAGGGCGAGCTGGTGGAGGCCCTGGGCGTCGTGCTTTGGGGTCGGGCAGGCACACGATTGCAGGTTTTGACTGGTTAAACAGAGGTGGAAGGAGAAGTCACAGTACTGTTGAGTGGTGGAGCTGCAACGTGGGACTGGTGGTAGGAGGTAAAATGGGGGGTTGGCTAGTGCCTTGTAGTTGTCTTGTGTGCAAAACCGGAGATCTTTACTTTTAGCCTGATAATCAGCTTTCCCTGTGCTGCCTCTTCCAAGCTGTGTGGAAGGGATGCCATTGTGTGTGGGCTCAGGGTGACCTGGAAGTGGTCACTTTCTCCTGTCAGTCTACAGAAAGTGGGAAAACAAGGAGTGGGCAGGTCTCTCAGAAAGGCCCAACTTCGTTCCTCTGTCCCACATCTTTGCCAGAAGACCGTCCATCCCTAGGCAGAGAAACGCTTGAAGTAATTTTCTGTGAGATTAAGAACCTCTTTTGAATGGATGCACTCTTCAGCCTTGCATTTCCTTTCCTACCCACATACATGAACGGTCCTTGGATTTGAAGTTAATGCAACTTAAGTCCTCGCCCATGTGCTTCAATGCTGTTGCTTAATTTAGAAGCCATACCAACACTTCTCGAAGGAAATCAATGCTCATTAATTATGATCTCACTTTTTAATTCTCCCATATTTAGTACTCTCTCAGATTCTCTACAGCAGCATGGAAATAAAAATACCATGCTCTAGTATTGGCTGTACTACAGAGTATTCAGAGTTATGCAGAAGACATCCTGTTTATAATAAACTCTTCCTCTCTACCTCAAAGGAGTTACAGATAAGCTAGTTTCAGTATTAACTTATTGCATAAGAACCTGGATATGCTATATACATATTTATAAATATTGTTAGACACACTCTTCATTTCTTCTCCTAAGACACTGATTCGTTTGCCGCAGAGATCTCGGCTGTGGCAAAGCCCTACACCAAAGTCTTCCTCTGTTCACTCTGGATGTCTGCCTTGCCTTCGTTCCCCTGTGCAAATTCCCAGTGGTGCTGGAGAGACTGCAGACTTCCCGAGTGGCTTTGGAGAGTGGTTCCCATTGAGCGCCTCAGCCCCTAGTGCCCCTCTGAACCTAGACTTGTCTGTCTGGATGCTCTGAGAGAACTGGGAGCTGTTAGCCTGTGACAGAGCAATAAATGTTAACAACTCCTTGTGCTCCCCATAGCAATCATTTCAGATAAAAGATGCACAGAGGGCCGGAGACTTGAGTGTAGGTTCCTCTTATCTCCATTTTGGAAACACAAGAATCTACTACTAGGCTAAAGGACAGCTTCAGCACTAGCAATAACAAGGCGCCAGTCATCCACTCTTTAGCCTGGCTGCTGGATGACAAAACCCAAGACAGAGCTGATGTCTGTTGCTAAGGTTTGACCTGCAGAGCCCCACAGAGGCATCTGACTACTCTGGCTTGGGACAGAGGCGTTCTTTGCCCTTGTCTCTCTACAGAAGAGCTGTAGTGTTACTGAGAAACTCACTGAGTTTGTGGAATTTCCCTTTAGTCTGGCAAAAGTCTCCAAAAGCCAGTCACCAAACAAGGAAAAGTTGATCCTATAAATTTTGAAGTTTGCGAAGTTATGAGCAATTAACTGAAGCTAGAGGTTATTGAGCTGTTGGGTAGCCAGTGTAGTGATTGCTGCATATATGCAGAGTTGTTTACCTAACGTTTTTCAAGATTTTCTGGCATCTCCTCCTGCTTTTGTTCTCTGTCTCCACAATTTCTCTTTAAAAGCCATGCATTATTTCACTGTTGCTTTTATGGATTTTTATACACTGTATTCTCCCTTTCTAATTTTCTTTTCCTAATGAGTGTGTAAAGATTAGTAAAGCAGTCCACTCCAGCTGAAGGAAGGTTTGGCTCCAGGTGACATTAAATTCAAATACTATAATGGTGAGCAAAGCTTAAGTCAGTGAACTTCTAAGCTTGATCCTGCAGTAAGATTTGGTAGCATCCCACATAGGATGCCACCAGAGCTGATAACAGATCTGATAATAAGCTCTTTCCGGGGAGACCCCTGAATGGACATGATGGTGCCATTGTTACGGTGGCACTAAGAGCAAGAAATGAGAGAGAGTCAGCAGGAGACCCAAGAAGTTTCACTTCCAGCTCTGCCATTGACTGCCTGCGGGTGATCTGGCAGGAGCTACTTAAATTATCTGTGTGAGAAACGGCTTTCATCTGTTAAATGGGAATATTGCCTACCACTGAAAGTTGATCCAATATGTAGTTCATGAGGAACTGGTGAAGTAAAATAGTTGAAGGTTCTTAAGTAAAAGATACAGTTCCTGGTGTTCCTGTCATGCTTTCCTCAGCTATTGTGTGTTGAAACAAGCTGATACGTTAGTGATCTCGCTGTACCAATCTTGATTCCCTATTTAGTATTTCTTATTTTGTTCCTCTGCTTTTTGCTGTGGTGCCTGTGATGATCCTGCAGTTCTGGACCCCTTGTCAGACTTGATAAATAGCTTTACTCTCTTTTTACAGCCAACACCAGCAGAAAACCTATTGATTTTTATTTATTCTGATGGTGCTGCAGTAGTCTTGTCATCTCCTATCAGTTCGCTGGGAATCCTATCCTCCATTAACTAACCATTAAAACAAAACAGAACACAAAAATTAACAAAGAGAGCACAGCATAATGTAGCATTGTCCTAAATAACCTGCGAAGTGGAGTTTGTATTGAGGCCTTTTCTTTCAAACGAAGGGAGACACAAAGCAGAACTTGTGATAACATGGCAGAACAGTGCAGGAAAATCCTCTAGTGTCACTCTCAGGCATGTACATCTTCCAGCTCCCACCAGGGCAATAAGATCTGACAGTCCAATTGTTGAGGTTTCCTTGACTTGCTCTTCCTCTGCTTGTGCACATTGATCAGAGGCGTTTTGCTATTGCTGCTCTGCAAAGTGAGTGTGCTCACCTGAGACAAAACAAATCACTAATGTAAAAGCTGATCTGTGCACATCCTTGAGCCACAAGTCAGTGTCTGCTCAAGTTGCTCATTTTGGGAAGTTGTGCCCGTGAACAGCCAGGGCCCCACTGTGAGGTTATGGAAACAAATCCTCTCGCAAACGTCTTCCTGACGCTCTGCTCTCTTCTTTGTTTTAGTTAGAGACTTGAAATCTGTTACAGAAACTATCCTTATGTTAAGGATGTGTCCTTTTTCCCTCTCTTTCTTTTGTATTTCATTCCATTCCTGGGACAAGAGACCCAACACGACTTCTGTGTGCTCTATGTGAACAGTAAAGTCTCCAGTGTGTCTGTCTTCACCGGATACGAACCAGCCTTCTACTTCATAGTTTGGGTGCTAATAATAAGGGGAATAATATTAGGGAATACTGAGGACCACATCTAACTAGAGGAACACGACTGATGCCTTTGAACAGTGCAAACATCCCCGTGCCCTGTACATACGCAGAATCAGAAACTAATTGTTATGTGCCAAAGAGCATATTGGCAGGATTTATACAGCAAAGCCTTTGGCATCATGCAAACCCTAACCCCAAATGCTCTTCTTTGGCAGAAAGAAAGAAATTTGGACTCTGGGCTACTCTTGCTATTAGATAACTGGCAGATCAAATATTTACAGGGACCATATTGTTTAGATTTTTCTTCATCATGTTACTCTCAGCCAATCTGAACACAGAGCAGCTGGGGTTTGTTTACCCACCAAGAGCTAAATCTCAGGCAGGTTGTGCAGCCTTTATGTTCTGACTGGCAAATGCTAATGTATAGAATGTTAGTGATACCCAGGGCGGTGCAGATCAACATGTCTGTTTCTGTGCTGCTTTTCAAAGTTTGGTATAGTTAACCTCCCGCAACACTACTTTATTTTTCTTGACACTTGAACAAAGAGTTTAAAGTGTTAAGGGACTTGAGACTGTTTCAGTCTGTGGTCTTTGTAGTTAGCGATCTTGGACTAATTTATGTCCCTCACGAGAATAAAATCCCACACCCAAACCCAGGATTCCTGAGTAGATATCCCCTGTAGCTTTCATATGCAAATAATTTTCTCATTGATATGACTCTGTCCTATCACGCTAACAATAAATCAAGTCCATGTGACCCCGTCCCCATTTTCCTGTTAGATTTGCTAATAATTTGCTAATCTTACGGCTAGAAATGAATTGCAAGGGTATTTTGAAAAGCTGGTGGAATGTGGAAAGTGCAGAGGTGCTGTGAGATGCCCTGGCCAGGAGTACGTGCCCCTGCCTCTCTGCCAGCTGTTGGAAAGCAACAGCAACCAGCTGGGTGGTTGCAGGTCTGGTGATGTGATGAAGAATAAAAGAGAAAATAAAGCAATAAAAGGAAAATCTGAAATGATCGCCATCTGTTTAGAAAACATCATACCTGTTAAAATATGGATTTTCATTTTGTTCTGCTTGACTGGTTCAGTTCATTGGAGGGGCTGGACCCAGGGATTATAAAGCATTTCACCCTCGTTCAGTCTGTTGAACAGAAATGCGTTAATTTTGTTGAACCATTTGGGAAGCTCACTGCAGGGGACCTTCTTTAGAAAACCAAAAGGGGAAGAAAACTGCCACCTCCCGTGGTGTGCACCTCTCAAACACACACCGCTACTTTTACAGCATACTATGCTGGCTTCAGAATTGTCTTGTGAGACTGTGGCAAAGCCCAAGTCAATACAGCTTTGAACTGGAAATACAAACCTGCTTCGTCCCATATAGGTGCAGGACCTCGAGAGCAGCTAGACACATTCCTGACTCAGACTTCTGCCTTTGGAAAACACGTTGGATGCTCCCGCGTTGGCCTTTTGACTGCGTGTAGTCTTTCCCATGTGTTAGGATGGCAGCGTGCCTGCGCACAAAGTGTTATGCCAGTTTCACGGAGGTAGAAGTGCCAAGCAAAATGGACTTGGCTGGGCAGGCTGCATAGCTCTCGGAGTGTGCTGAGAGGCTGCAGTAAGTCTTTTTTGGTAACAAGAATGTCAGAGAGGTAGGACAAGCCTGTTCTCATGGTTGTTGACATCCGTATGCTGGAGGAGGTTGTTCAAGAAGGAAAAGCAGGTTTCTGTATGTATGTGTTGGTTTAATTGTTGAGGCAAGACTGTGGTATTAAACTGTAGGCTATAAGGATCTCTCAGCAGCCTATATGGAGAAAGACCCGTAGCAGATAATGCCTTTAAGGTCACAGCTGGTTGCTGCACACCCTTCCTCTGCCCCTCCCTCCCCCCTCCCCCCAGTAAGTGTAATCAAGGGAAGTGTCTAATGCCTTTCATATGTGAAAGAAAGAGAGAGAGAGACCTTAATGAGGTCTTGATGGTTGACTATGTCATGGTTTGCATGAAGCACTGAAGAGGAGACTATTAGCTACAGCCAGCCTCTGGGTAAATCTGCCTGACCATCATGTGCCAGAGACTGGAAAAAAAACATTAGTTGAAAAAATTCACATGGATGTCCATTTAATGGCATCACCACTGCAGAAAACCCGTTCTTCAGGTTGCAGTAGCAGTTTGCCCTCAGCAACTTGTAGTGGTGTACATGGTGGTTTTCTCATCCCTCAAAGTGAGGAACAGCAGGATGGAAATGCTGTATCTATGATGCGAATAGCTTTACAGGACTTTGGGACTATGGAAAATATTATTCTTCTGGCCTTAGAGCACATGTAGCCTGAATGTAAATGTACTGTAAATATGGATCATGATAAATCATCAGGGAAAACGGAATTATTTAAAAGAGAAGGGTGTCCCTTTGCTTGATAGCTCTCTGTGTATATAGCCACATGTGGGCAAGAACAAAAGATCAGGTAAGTGACGGGGCCTCTCGTGTTTAAGGCCAGAGCTGGAGAAGGGCATCCCTGTAATATGTAGGTTTATTTTTTGTGAGGTCTCAGCGTTTACATCTTACCTGTGCCAATGTGCCTGACCACACCTGCAGAGGATCCTGAGTGCTCCATCCCATCTGCTTGATAAAACTAATATAAAACAATTGATTTGTTTGGTTTTTTTAAACATTTAAATGTTTTTCACAACGCAATGTGTTCTTTTCTAGATGACACCGCTAATAAACCAGGCCTGTGACGTCCTGCTGTGTAACTTGAAAGTCTATGCAGATTCTGGCAAAGCTTTTGATATCCAGAGGTATGTTCAATGTGCCAGAAATTAGTAGCAGATTTAAAAAAACCCACGTCAATAGCAGCAGTTATTCTAAATATGCGCTTACTGTATAAAAGATGATTTTTTTTTTCCTCCCTTGCTTTTGTAAGTGGAGATCATAGTTATAATAGAGGATGTGTCTGATAGATGTCTTTTCTTCCTGGGGGCAGCCACTGCATACTTGAAAAGTAATTTTGGAAAAGCATCTAATGTATTTCTAGCTGTTGTTTAATGAAGTTTTAACAGCTGGAAGCAGAAAGGAAAGCTGCATCAGCCCCTGTCCAGTCTGCTCTCTACAGCCTGCCAATAATGTACAAATATAGGAATTGATCTAGTATCAAATCCCTCTAGTCCATCACCCTCTTGCTTTTTTCATATGAGGTTTTTTTGAGCACTTAATCATTCTTACCACATTCCTCCTAACCCCCTCTAATGGCACGCTGGCCTTTTGTGAAGCGATGGGATCGGTACTCCAGATGATAATGCACCACTGATTTATAAAATAACACTTTAATATTTTCCATACTGTGCTTTCTCCCATTTGTTATGCATTTAATATCCTGTTATCTTTTCTTGTTGCTCTTTCATCAGAGATCTTCACTAAACTGTTTGCAGCACAGTCTAGCCCCTGCTCTGAGCAGATGCATTTCCTCTAGGACCCTGTACGGCATATGAGTAATTCAGATGCATTCTTTGTAATAGGCACTGTTTTGCATACACTTCATATGCTGGTTTGGCCAGCACCCTCTGAAGTTCTTCATGATTTCCCTCAAATAGGAGCAGCACAAATAACTTTGTTTCGTCTAAGTAAATTGATATTTAGCCACAATTCATCCATCTCTTTCAAGTACATGTACCCATGCAAGTGTATGAGTGCGCACAGAGATCTCCTTATTAAACATCTGAAAAGATGCTATGAAACCTTGAGATACATTACACTTAGCTTAGTGCTGTGATGAAAATTGACCTTTTGAGTCCTTTCAGGCTTTTCCATTTTTCCATTTGTCCTTTTTCTTTGCCTGGTCTTTTAGCTATTGATCCATGATAGGCTTTTACCTCTCCAAAGGCACTTTGGAAAAGACCTTTTGAAATTATAAACCAGTGATGTTGACCATCTCAGAATATGATCTTCCAGTTGTTTTATCATACTACCATTTCAGCAGGTTTGACATATATAACTCTGATTCTCATTGTACTGCAGTTTCCAAGAATTGCCCCAGGAGCTATTGTTTTGAATGTAAATACTCTATCTGCAACTTCCTGTTGTCTTTAGCCATTTTGTGTTTCACCAACAACTCAGAATTTAGTTTTTAAGCTTTTTCAGTACCTTGGAGATGATTAAGCGCTGCTGAAATTATTATTTTATTGCAGTGCCCCTCTTTTAATATTTAAACTTCTAATAATGCTTTTATTTTGTGTAAGAGTTGAAAACCCAAATAAGTTACTCAGCTTTGCAGTATTATTGCAATCTTCCAAATCTGCTCTGGTGTCATCAGTGACAGTGCCCAAAGATCATAGTTTAGAAATGCTGCTTCATAATATATTTACAGGATATACTGGGCCTGAGTCCTGCCCTTCTTTTAATACAGGCTCACTCAGGTTAAAACACCAGAGAACTTGGGCAAGGGAACATAGAAGAACAGTCATTTCAGTCTTGGTCACAGATCAGAAGAATCGAATTTCAAGGATATGTTACATTCTCAGTCCATTTATCTCAAAACTAAATATAGCTGCTAATGCCCAGTAGAAGTAAAGATGGTGAGCCAACTGGATACACAGTCAGCTATGTAGGGAGAGATTCAGTAAGTTCAGAGGTTTCTAGATCATGGTCCACAGGTCATTTCTAGTTCTCAAAGCATTTGCTGTTCCTCTGCAGAGACACAGATTTCAGCAGCTCCTCTTGGTTTTGACCGTGATGTTACATTAGAAGGCAGCTGTCAAGAAGATGAAGGAAATCCTGAACAGGAAATCTTACTTAAGCACCTCTTGTCACTGACAGTTTGGACTGGACTAGTAGTAGATGTGGTAAATGAAAAAGGAATATCTCTTTCATTAGGGTGCACACTAAGAAAATTTTTATGAATCTCTGATCTGTTGCATTTGATTTCTAGGTAATAACAAATGAAATTTTTTGTAAATTCTTGGTAGAATTATTGAACTATATGAAAATACATTCACTTTGTAGACAAAGAGAAGGTGATCATTATTAAGTGCCAGCATTTGTCAGAATAATGAAAACATCTCTTGCTGGCAAAGCTCAAATCTAAAAGCAGACAGAAAATAAGAGGCAAAAATTAATGTTACGTGATGTTTGTAGAAGCAAGATATAAATGGATATGTAATTTGTTGCTAATGATTTATCATTTTTCAACTCACTGCAGGTGTTACAACTGTTTTACCTTGGATGTCGTTGGTAGCGTAGCTTTTGGTACTGAGGTGGATTCTCAGAAAAATCCTGATGACCCCTTTGTTAAGAGTTGCAGAACATTCTTTGAAATGTCTCTGTTTAAGCCTCTCCTCATTCTAATCCGTGAGTATAGCCTACCTTTGTTTCCTTCTTTATAGTAATTTTCTAAAAGTCATTTTCAAATTTCAAAATGTGCTGAAGCAAGAGCAGGAAGATGTATAGCAGACTTTATTTCAAAGGTGTTCAGAATTCAATCTGCAGGCCGAGTATACCCTTGAGCTTTCCACCCTGTGCTCTACAGCTCTTGTCACCATTAATGCAACTTCCTTCCGAAACAGAGAGTCTGGGAAGGTACTGCTCCAGCTTGATCTGAGTGGAAGGTTTCTGGGAGCTGTAGTTCCTGTGGCACCTCTTCTAATACAGTTCTGCATTAAAACAGTATAACTGCTGTTTGGACCCTAAGAGAAAAGTCTTTGTGCACTCAGTTTGCTTGGTAGAGATTGAAATCTTACACATAACCACCAGTGGGCTAATAACTCACCAAAGGAAAGAGATGGAGAAGCGTAAGCAGGTAGTATGAGTCCTCCAAATTCTTATTTGAATAGCAGCAGCAGCCTGCTTGATGGCTATAAAGAATTAAGATGATAAGTGCCAGCACAGACTGTCATTAAGAGAATGCATTTATTTTTAGCGGAAGAGATAGGGAATGCAAGAATGGGGTATAAAGCCGTTTAGGTCTAGGGCATGAAAACTAAGGCTTCACAGTGTCAGTGGCCTTGTTAATGCAAGAGCCATAAGAACTGTAGCTGAGAAAGGCACAACATAATTGAGGTGGTTGAGGTTTTACCATCTTGCTATCTAGACCTGCTCACAGTAGTGTCAGGTGGCAGAGTGGCAAAGTTTCCTGTGCCCATCTGATCCTGCTGGCATTACAGATTGCACCTGTACTAGCAGCACATGAACTGTTTCCTTTTGGAGTTGTGTATCCAAAATTTCCTGGGGTTACTGTTTAACCTGATTGCAAAGTGGGATTTGTAGCTATTTCTGAAAGGATAGAAATGTGTCCCTTTATGTCTAAGACCATGTCCTTCATTAAAGAAGATTACTGTAGGGTTTGTTTGGGATTGGATTCTTTGGTTGGCTTCATTCTGCTGGTACATTGTGTGGACTGAATTTCCACACTGTTGCTCTGTTGGCAGCACAGGGATTTTCCGATGACTGATTTGTTAGTCTTTAGCTGCTCATGAGTTAACAAGGGATTTATTAAGATGCAAGACTTCACTCAGGTTTCTAGTTCTTTACTGTAAAGGCCATGGACTGGAGACCATCCTTGTGATAACATCCCAATTCCAGAGTTTGTTGCCTGTTTAGAGAAGCAAAATAAAATAGCAAACCGGTATCGTGGTGTTGGGATGCTGTGAATGAGAATGACTACTGCACAATTTCATAGATCAGTGCCATAAGCTGCTAGGCTAGGTCATGATCATCCACCTTCTGTGTGTAATTGTTTGAGTAGGCAGGGAAAATAATCCTCACCCTTTTTGTGGTGGCTTTGTGGCACCAAGAAGCTGAACTGAAAGCCTGACGCATCGTGGAAGCAAGCTTGGAAGGCAGCTGTCTGGCAGAACAGTCCCAGCCGACACGGAATTTCTGAAAGGAAATCCTTTAGCAGCCTGTGGGGGTGGAAGGAAAAACAGGGAGAAGGAGAGAGAAAGAGGAAAAACCAGGTTTCACAAAGTAACACATCCCACTTGATGAGTTTTATAATATTAATGAAAGGAACAGGATATTGTACGCTTTTACAGTCTGATTCAGTGTTTTCTTCTTTCAAATCTGTTACAGTTTCTTTCCCATTCATAATGATCCCATTGCTCCGGATTTTGCCTAACAAGAAACAAAAGGAACTGAATGGTTTTTTCATCCAAACCATAAAAAATGCAATTGTCTTCAGAGACCAGCAAGATGCAGCTGAGGTAAGGCCATTTCTGTGATAAATATATAGATAAGGAAATGTTTTGAGGAAAAACTGGAAGTGGCATAAGCCTCAGTTGAAAAAGCAAACTCAGTCTGTTTGAACATCCAAAGCGATTTAGTGAAGATTTTATTCGGTTTTAGCTTTATGTGCCATCAATCAGGCTTGGTGTTGACGCAGAAATGTTAACGCATTACACCAAAGACTGCTTCTCTTAGTATGTCTGTTCAAATAAGGATGTAGAAAATGTTACGTCTGGGATGACTTTCCAACCCAGTTTCTAGACTGAGAAGGAAGGATTCACCCTTGTAGAATTCCTTCTCATTTTAAAGTCAAGTGTTTTGTCTATGCTACTTTTCCTTAACAACCAGAGAAGGAGGAGCCCCCACCGAGTGTTTCAACCCAGTCATTACCTAGGAGCTGAAGTAGGTTTTATATAGTCCTGTGGCAGTCACTACTGCTCTTGAAAATGGAAAGAACCTGAATGTCTGTTAAGACCAGACACTTGATACTGAGATGGCTAAAGAGGAAGGTAGTAAATTCTACCTGAACTATACAAACTAATGGGTATGCATGATTAGCAAATCATTTGTTACTCTCTCATCTGGACATAGGGCAGTTCTGTTTTCTTTTGTTTTAATCACTGTTGTTTTGTGAAGTACCTGAGGGCAAATACATTTTTATGAGTTTCACTCTATTTTTAATATATGAAGCACTTGGAACATAGGCATGTCCTTCAGTTCTGTGACACAAAAGTTCTTTAGGGCTGCTTGTCCTTTTGGACCATCCTTTATGGCAGACTGCACATAATATCCCTAAAAATAAGTTAACCACTTAATTATAGATGTGTAGTGAGAAACAAAGAATATCAATGAGAACTGCATTTTAAAGGTAACTGAGACAAGTCTTGCATATCAATTGACATGAAGCACGCTACAACGTACACATTAAGAAGCTGTTAATATTGAAACGTAAGAGAAGTTCCTTACCCCTTTGAGATGGAGAGCAATTCTGCTTGCTCTGATCACAGCACAGGTGGGAATGGACCCTCCCAACTTCTTCTCACAGCTCAGCCCCACAGCTGTCACCTTTCCGGAAAAAATGGATTTTACTTGCCTCCAGGATGCATTTAAAAATCAAGTTGATGTTCAAAGATACTGTTGCTCTGTGCTGTGTTGCGTGTTCTGCTCTTTGACTTTGTCTGCAGCGAAGTCTCATTTCTGTATTTGTTGTGCTTTATCACCACATGCTTCTTGTCTTTCCTCCAGCCCACCTTTATGAGTCTTTGCCCCCACTAGCCTTTAGATCTTTGTCTACATCTTTCTTTATATTCAAAAGGTTGTAAGCACCACTGGCCGGCCACAAACAATTCATGATTTATAAACACTGTTCCTGGCCCAGGCTGTGTGCTGGAGGGATATTTTCTAATGGGATGGTGGATCTAAGCTGCTTGCAGACACCTCACTTGTAGTGCACAGATCTGGCTTGAGCTTTTAGTGGCATGGTGGTGTGGCTGTATGTATGGAGTTTTGAATCAAAAATTTATGCCAAAAGGGGTCTGCATGAAAAGTCTGTTCCAACTATCATTTATAAAAGGGACAATCAAACGATCTAATGTGGATTAAAAGTAGTTGCTGTATTAACTACTATTAATAAAATGCAATGCATTTCCATGGCAATAGCACTGAGGTCATTGATCGTGGGCTAAATCCTTCCCTATGCTAGAGATGGTCTCTGCCTCAGACTGCAGACTAAGATAAAGAACAGCAGGTTGGTTTGCTTAGGAGAAAACACAAAGAGAGGCAAGATGGTAGTGACAGTAGCAGGAGGCGGCGTTCTCTTCATATGCAGCCTGTTTGCCTGTTTCCGTGGTTGATGGAGCAGAGGTTTAAGATTATATTGTAAGGGATGTTGGGAGATGCTGTAAGCGAGAACAAATAGCAGTAGCTGCCCGGTATCAGGGCTGTGTGGAGGAAAGGACAAGGTCCATGTTTGCCTTAACTGTTTATGCAAAAGTCCATGACTGGCTGTGGCCCTGCCTGCTCCTGGACTTCTGCCTGGTTTACAAGATGGGCATATGGCAACTGTTTCAAATGCTGGGACTTAGTCACTTAGGACCAGATTTCTGAGAGTGCATTAAGTCCTCTTTGGAGTTCAGGATCATTAGCACGGCTTTCAAAAGAGACTGGAAACTTTGGAGCCTCCTTGGATTTCCCTTTTTGCTGCCTGTCTCCTTATGCACTCTTAGAATTTTGCCTGTTTTAGGTTGGTGGAACATGAGTCTTGTTACAAGTATAGGCAACGTAATAATTTGCCAGGAACATAAAGACGGTATGTGAAACAGATCAAAATGCAGCCGTGTCCAGTTTAATGCAGAAATGTAAGCTAGAGATTAGGTGTCCCAGATAGCCCTGCATTGAAGGACAATTATGTCCTGTGTCCTCAGCCCTGAATCATGAACTGTGGCCACAGAAGTCAGATGGAGTTTTGGCACTGAATTTTCACGAGGCCCAGATATAACCGGTAGCTACTGGTTCTTTGTGCTAAAACTGGGAGCTATAAGCAACGTCTTACGGTCTCCCTGTGCTGCATTAGGCCAATGGGTATTCCTTAGGTTGCCACACTCCTAGGTGTTATGTTGCATGCATCTTTTACTCCTCATTGATTTTATCACTGTTAAAAAAGCTTTGGGATTTTTTTCCTTCGGAGGCAAAAAAAAAAAAAGCCACCCTTGGAACAAACTGTAAAGTGGTTCAGCTGAAGCTTCGCTTCCTCTCATCTGCAGCTAACATGAACAAAGAATAAAGAAAGGCCAAAAACCAATGTGACAAGCAAAGTCAGCCTGTTATCATCCCTGTTCTATCAGTAAATGAAACAATGGTTTTGAATGCCTAAAGATAATCCCATGGGCAGATAGTAATTTTACAGCCAGGTTTAGATCTAATAATACGCTTGCAGTTTGTATGAGATCTGTGATGTCACTTTCTCTCATCCCATCGGTTAGTGCTGCAGATGTCATTTTAATTATATATTATCTTGCTTTGGTCAGTCAAATAATTTCAGTCCTGGATATTCCACTCATTTGGCTTATATACAAAAACATTTTGTGGTTGTACTTTAGAAATTTTAATATATTGCATCTATTCATGGATTCAATTATTGCAAAATGCTTTTCCCACTATTTACAGAAGAGTAAATTCACCCTGATCAGAAGCAACAGCACAAATTTAATGCACCACTTAACACCTACTTTGAAGACTCGGCAGGATTTAAGTGTTCAAATACCTTATCCTGATTATCTGCCCAGGTTTAAATTTTTCCCTTAGGCAAAATGTTTCCAGAAAAAGGGCAGATAGACTGTTTGTTTACTTCAATAAATGATAGTTTGATAGACTTTAATTTAATAATCTGATATGCAAATCATTATTAATGTAAGAGTTGTCTTACTGTCGTGTTATAGCTCAGTTCTTAACCTGTCAGTCTGGTTTAGATGATGATATCTAGATGGAGTCTTTCATGGTGCTCAAAATTGAGACTCCTTTCTATAACCGTGGCTTGAAGCTAAACCCCCTCAGCAGATGAAAGGCCAAAATTTCAGTTGTAATCCATAGTAATAACGACAATTGGAATGTAACAATTTAAGGATATTGCAAAACGTTATTTTTGGAAAATCACAACAGATCTATGGGAAAATCCGGTTTTCAAAATATCTGCCCTTTAACAAGGAGATTTGAAGAGTTCACAGAGGCTGCAGCACATTCTTCTGGCATCTCCTGATTTTTTCCAGTCATACTGTCTGCTGTGAATGCATAATCCAAGGTCACTGATCCATGCCAGGCAGGTAGTGACCTGATGATGTTTCTGACGATGGTCAGCTGTTTCTTGGTGGTCTCAAGCCAATTTGAAACGAGAGGGTGACAGAGCACAGGGAAGTATCACCAGAACTGTATTCATAGGCATCTTGGGTGGCAGTTCAGTCAGGTGATCTGCCCTCCCGCAAATCGGTATGGCTCTTGGAAGTGCTGTACTCTGCTGTGCTATGTCTAGGTCAAAAGAGGCTTTCCTTTGGTCAGCAGCAACTGCCAGTGAACAACTGCAACCGCTTCCACTTTTCCCCACTTCTCATCCTCATCCCTACCAATCCTTTCCGTGATCTCTGGGAAGTACAGTCACTCTGCTGCCCCCCCTCAGCTGCCTGCACACCCAGACAGGCACGAGTGATCCCTGGTGTACGGAGATCCTTTGGTTTTCTAGCATCAGCCATGGGAGCTTAAAAAGGTTGGGGAACTGAATTTTGAGGAAGTCTGAAACTGAGCTGTTTGCTCTGAAACTGAATGCTCGCGACAGGGAGAGAGCTGCCCTTTCACTATTGGGTAGCAATAGCAATGTACTGTAAGGAAGCGGTATCTTTTAATATCTTTCTGGGAAATGATGGCCTGGTTACAACTTTAATCTCTGGAACACTGATTCCCATGGAAAAACGTGCAATGAGCTCCCCTAAATGCTTTACCTAAGGGGAAGAGGGACATGTGCGTGTGTACCTGCGTTCCGGAGGATCAGGGGCAATCTGAAAACCTAATTACTGTGGCATTCTGTTCTTTTCTCTTCCTTCCCCAGTAGTTCCCTGGAGTTTTTCCTTTTCATGAACTAATGAACTATTTTATTCAAGAGCTGCTTGAAATGAGTTGAGCAGAGGTAATCCTCCTGAAAAAGTCTGATCCTCTCCTTGTCAAGGGAAAACTATACAATTACTAAGAAAACTTAGTTAAAAATTTGCTAAATACTGTGTACATTCCAGGAGCTATGTGTGTGTTTGAACTGTGGAAATGCAGTGCAGATGTTAAAAAGTAAATATTTTTCTAAGGAAACAGCAGATGGGAGGATTAGACACCTTCTAATAGTGTGCAGTTTTCCTGCCTTTGTAGAAAACGAAGCAAAACTTGTTTATATTTGAAAGAAGGTGGTGTCCATTTAAGGATACATGCTATATGGCAATGTTAA